GTTAAGTGTCGTTGACAAAATTATATGTTCTGAGATTCGCGTTATAGATCGTTATGATGATTTTAGGATGGTACGAAATTGTTGCTGCACTTCTTGGCTAGCGACAATTTAAAATGTACACTGTAACTTTCTGTGATGAAATGCGGTCCCGTGATTATGATGAAATGCCGTCGTCCGGCCAGATTTTCAAGGGTTTATATACCCCTCAAAACCGAAAAATCTTGGTGTCACGTGCAAATTTTTGGGTGGGAGGATTCCCACGAAAACGCTTTTCCAGGAAGATATCATAATAAATTTCTTATAAAAGAAGGGGTGGTTTGGGGGTCCTGAGAAGGCAACGAGTGAGCTCTTCTTATGACCAAATATGGTCAAGAGAGTCTATCATGACCATATTTGGTGATAGACGACGAGAAAATCTAAGAGAGAATAAGTAAAAGTCTATGATTTGTTGATTCTCGAGGCTCGTGACGTGCAGGTGTTAGCATCCCGAAAGACGCGGGGTTGCTTATCGTATCAAGATCGGGGGCGGTTCGGCAGATAAAGAAAGATCAAGCGGTAGTCGCACGTTGGGGTTCTATTGTTCGCTTGCTAGCTTCTATACGTTTCTGAAATCGTTCTCTATATAATTCTCTGCTATATTCTGGTTGTTGCAATTTTAATATAATAAAATGAAGTTATGATTGCTAAATTATATAGTTATGATTTTAGAACGTGGTATATTCTTATATAGTTACGGTGAAATGTTGTTATATTCATGGAGTTCTTATTTATGTAAATATATTGAAAAAAAAGAGAATAACATCTCTGATACTAAGTTGCAAGAATCAATAGTAAGGTTCCATAAATATAATTACAATTGAGGCGCATCGTTTTTGTTATCTTATAATTTAAAGAAAAGATTTTATGGAATATTTTATGACAAATAGTCGGTCTTTAGAATTTATCAATTTTTATAATTCATTCACCATTGTGTGATTAAAATATTTATTCAGACGATTCATCATTTTAATTATTCCATAAATAACATTATACTGTTACGTCTCGTGGGGTCGCGGCTGCGAAAATTTGAATGCAGAGCTCGGCTTTTTCCACGAGACACGATCGCTATTACGGGTACGCGAATCTATGCGATTCTCCCCGGGGATACCCGCGATCTGAGGTTATTCGCGCTGGAACTGAGGTGATCGGATTATTGCGTGGGACCTACCTGTGACTCTACTGTAATAAAGATAGCTTCGTCGATTGCTCTATGCGAAACGTCGTTGGGGTTGCGTAAGTAATCTTCGTACGTAAACTGACAAAGCTCGCACAAATCACCGATTCGCGTGAGGGTAAGTCGGAAGTTGCAGACTCCGCAATTTATTCCGATAGGTGTTCCGCCTATGATTAGAGTATGCTTCCGAATCCTTGTCCAAAGTAATTTCGAGACTCTAGGTAAGGTGAAGTAGCATGAAATGCAGAGAGCTGCCTTAGTCTCAAAATGGATGTACCCGACACCAACTTGGCAATAGAATAAGGGTTCAAACGGTACAAAGAGATTAACTTCTGGAGGAGGAGTTATACCTCTAAGGGTGAGTGGGCACATTTGTGTTTGTTGCGTAATCGAATTGATAATGCGTCATTCGTTCGTAGATCTTCGCTGAACCCGGCAGTTATCGAGAAGTTAGTAGTCGTCGGCAAAACCGTCGGTAATTGTTCAGTAAAACACTGGTAAGGTGCCAGTAAGGTGTCGATAACCCGTTGGTAAAAGAACGTTCGTCGGTATATGGTTGGTAATGTCGGTATAAGAACGTATGTTGGTATATAGTCGGTAATGTCGGTAAAAGAACGTATGTCGGTATATTGTCGATAACGTCGGTAAAAGAACGTATGTCGGTATATCGTCGGTAATGTCGGTAAAAGAACGTATGTTGGTATATTGTCGATAACGTCGGTAAAAGAACGTATGTCGGTATATCGTCGGTAATGTTGGTAAATCGAAAGTGTTCTCAATTGATTATTGTTTAAATGACTACTTTGTTGTACGGATTTACGAAGTTATTTCTTGAGACACAAGATTTTTAAGAGATTGAACTATTTGCGTTTTTCCGTGTTAGAATTCCGAGGGTGGCACCGCATGTGGTGGTCGACCCTAGTTTTATAGCCCGACCTTTTTTTTATAGCTTCCGCAGTGACGATGGAAAAGAGGAAAAATGCGTCGGAGATTTTTCTAGAATGTTCTCTTCCACGTGGTAGAAGCGTCTCTGAATTTGCTAACACGCGCGATTCCTTAGGTTAACGTGAATTTCACTTACCTTTAGTAGCACTTTCTTGATCGTGTCGGCTCGTACTTGGAGGTAATGCGTGCGGCGAGGGTCGTTCACTGGGATGTTTGGCGGCGGCAGGCGTCGTGGTTGGAACGTTATTGGTATGCACTTCCACTGTAGGAGTTCGTCGTTGTTATTATTTTTAATGTTGAAAATGTTCTCGTATTCAGGATCGGCCTGATATTCCACTCCGAGGAATTGAGAATATTCCTCGGTCGCTGATTCGCGATAAAGTCGGTTTAGTTTTCGTAATTGATTCTTCCTTCCTGCGCGTCGCGTCTTAGGCATATTGAATTTGATGCATCCTCTGAATGATTACTCAAATAAGGAGGGTTGATATGCGGCGGACCTCACTATCAATTCCTTATTTTGGCAAATGCTGAGAATGTTAATTCTGACTGTGATGAGCGGTGGTCCGCTCCAAACACAGTTTGAATTATTCTGAATTCAACCGCCGTATGACAAATTTAAACGCTATCGTATTTTATCACGGGAGTGGAAGTTTTGAAGAATACTGAACACTAGTTTTCACACATGAATACACTGATTTATTCGTATAGTAGTACAAAATTCGAGACTAAAACTTAGAATTAGAATTTAGATTTAGACTTAGAATTTAGAGTTAGAATATTATACTTAAAGTTAGAATTTTAGAATTAGAGTTAGGATTTAGAATTTGGACTTAGAGTTAGAATTTAGGAGTGCGACTATACTGTTCGGTGTCGCGCAGAGAACTGCCGAAATTCGGGACTGCTCTGAGGTCCTTCGTTTCGGCGGCTCGGGCCTGCGGCGGCCTGGAGAGGGGGAACTCTCCGGAGTAGGGGCTCTCACCGTGGTGGGAGATCCTTAGGCGCTACGAAGCGCGACGCTTAGTTTCTAGGCGGAGTTAAGCGTCATGGCCGGCTTTGGCGCGCTTTTCAAATAGCGTTTAAGGAACTTGGAGTAAACAAAAAAATTTATACGGCCGGACGTGACAATACAATTTCAAACATGTTGATTATAGGATTCACACATTGATTAATAGATTTGCACACATTGATTATATTTCGCATTTATCGTTCATACCGGTTAGGGTTGTAAGAGATGGCGACGTCTAGTAATTTATAGACATATGCTTGTCGTGTTGGATTGGTCCCGTCGCTAGTCCCTAGACTTGTTACAACTAGAAGATTCCATATGCCGGTATTATTAACGATAAATAATAAAAACGTCTAATTCTAAGTTAAATCATTCTTAAAATAGTTAATTATATAGGTTCTCGCAAGAAATGATGTAAAAGCGAAAAATTTTGGATTTCGACCAATAGCGGGACGTCACAACAGACGTAATGCGTCGACGCGCTATTGGCTAGAGCTCTACTACTTTGCGCATGCACACTATAATTATAAAATTATTTATTGCAAATAATAAAGAAATTATTAACTCACAAACAATTATATTGATATATTTGTTAATTACAAACGATTTCCTATCAATTACAATTGTTAGTTATTACAAAATCTGTTTATTACTAAAAAGTGTCGGCTAACTTCACAATTAAAAAAAAATTATTAATTACAAAAAATCTAATTTGTCACAAACGTTAAAAACAGACTCACAATCAATCACAAACAATTTACAAACAAAATATATTCAGAAAAAGTGAAAATAATCATATTTTATAATTTGTGTCGGCTAGCTTCATGTAGGTCGTCGCATGTCCCAACATGCTCCTTCTTACTTCTGTCACGTCCGAGTGACCTTCTTTCGTCCTCTATTACTCTAGGTCTAGGAAGAAAGGGTTAGCTCTCTATTTATTTAGGACAATCTGCATGCACCGACTATACTCTGGGTGCGCCGAGAGCTGGAACTGACTTTTCGGATCTGGAAAATTTTAGGAATAGGGAATGTTTTATAGAAATATATAATATTGTTCAGGCAGGTGTACATTTTTTTTTACGAAATGTTATATTTGTTGAATGAAGCGCGTTTGAACCACGGCTCTGTCCTGTGACAGCCGCGTGATCATATTTATTTGAATCCGCTTTCTCGTGTTAATCATGTGAATCTTCGAAGCGCGCTTCCGTGGTTTGACGACGGGGATGCTCGAGGATTCAGATCGCTTTGCGACAGTCTGTAAGACGGATCATCAGCGATTATTCGAGTCGATCTCGTGCATTAAGCACTACTATTCCGCTCCCGCGAGTCTAAACTTTATTCTGTTAATCAATATAAGAGTGAATAAACAATAAATTCCGTTGTTGTGTTATAGTTTGTTATACTTAACGCGTAATCATTTTCCTACTTTTGCGACGTCCCAAACCCGTGCCGAATAGCAAACGAACATAATTGGAGTAGAGCGACAAGATCGGAGGTGTCGCGACATTTTTTGATCTTTCGAGCCGGATTTAGTGGGTGGACGTCGTACAGAGTCGTGATCTAATCAGTGCACATTGGTGAACATTGACCTTCCATTGGGTGTTGGCGCGCCGTGTATTTGGCGCATAGGACTACCAAGGACTGTGATAATTATACCACGTAAACAACACGCGTTACACGCCAGGTCGAGCGACCTTGAGAGTAATTACACGTGAATAATCTGCTCTTATCGCGCACGCATTTTTTCGCAAGTAAATAAGTTGTCGTGATTGACGCGAACAATTATATACACGGTGAAATTTACCGCCGTACAGTCAGTGAACTTTAATAATTATTATGGCGACGCTCAAAAAGCTGCTCACGCAGCAGGACGTTTTAATCGGACAAATCTCTCGTTCGGTGACAAATTTGAAAAAACTCGGTGCGAGCAATCTCACGGCCGCCAAGGTGAAACATCTCCTCGGTACCTTGGAGAAACTGTGGGAGAAGGCGCAGCTCGTCAACATCCAGCTCCTTCAAGGGGCCTCCAAGGAAGAAAAGGAGCAATTAGGCTACTTCAAACAAGGTACATTCCTCCTCGCCGAGGAGGAGTATCTCGACGCTTCCGGCTACATGGCCGATCTCATCGAGACGCTCTCCGAAAAGCCCTCCACCCTGGGGCATGCAGGTGATACCAGCTCCGTGCAAACGACAGTTGCGAACAATTCCTCGATGAAACTCGGCCGCATTGATCTTCCAGAATTTTCCGGTGACCGTTTAAAGTGGTCTCATTTTCGCGATATGTTCGAGACTCTCGTGATAAATAATTCGTCACTAAATGGGGTCACGCGGTTGCATTACTTGATGTCCAAGCTTAAGGGCGATGCCGCCGCTTTATTGCGTAATTTTAAAATCACCGAAGATAATTTCGAGCCCGCATGGAAGGCCTTGACGGACGAATATGCGAATACGCGTCTGATTATTAATTCTCATTTGCAAACGATCGTTGATCTACCAATTGTAAAAACCGAATCAGCTAGCGCGCTTCGCAATCTACGCGACGTAACAAAATCAGCGATTAAAGCTTTGTCAAACCTCGGGCGTCCGGTCGACAAATGGAGCGATCCCTTGATCTTTCTACTTACTAAAAAATTGCCTCCTCGCACTCGTCAGGAGTGGCAGATGGAACTGGGGGATTCGTACGATCCTTCTGAATTAGACACGTTTCTAAAGTTTATTTCAAAGCGAATTAGAGGTCTCGACGACGATAATCCTTCGACTTCAAACGATATTGTATCCGGAAGGTCGTGTAACTTTAAGGCGAAAATTCATACTGCGAATAACGCGTCCGTACAAGATTCCCGGAAATGCCCGGCTTGCTCGGAAAAACATTTACTCTTTCGATGCAATCAATTCGTCCCCTTGGACATTAATCAACGTTTCGCCCTAGCGAAAAAGTTAAAATGTTGTACAAATTGCTTGCAACTCGGTCATTCCGTCAGCGCGTGTAAAAATCCACAGAGATGCTTTAAATGCGACAAAGCACACCATACGTATTTACATCGCGATAACAAGAGTAATGAGAGCACGCCGTCTTCCGACAATCGCTCCGCTGACGCAAGCGTAGTAAAAACACAAATTGCCAGTCCGACAGTGCTCACTGCGTCAACGTGTCTACCGAAAAATTCTACCGTGCTCCTCGCAACCGCGTGAGTGAATTTGCGTACTCGCGAAAATCGAATAGTACGAGTACGCGCGTTACTCGACCAAGGAGCTACTCATACGTTTATCACGGAGACATTGGCTCAATTGCTGCATACATCCCGCCAACGGACGACTTTGCCCGTGACGTGTTTCGGCGAACGATATTCCGGCACGGCGAAAACGATGATAAGACTTTCGCTCGAGCCGTGCGTAACGAACGACATTTCTCTCCCAGTCGCGGCCTACGTGTTTAATCGGATCACGTCGTACGGTGCTTCGAAACGTAGCCCAGTCCCTGACTGGCCGCATTTACAAGGACTTGACCTCGCTGATGCTGATCGGACTCCGATACAGATATTAATCGGAGCGGACCTTTACGGAGCCACATTACTAGATGGCCTTCGAAAAGGTCCGTTCGGCAGTCCCACGGCCCAGTCAACGATCTTCGGTTGGATTGTCACTGGCCCTTCTAGTGATAACGATTCCAATGCATCTGTTTGCGTGGCAACTGTCAATACTATGGACGTAGACCTCAACCAAATTCTCGTGCGATTCTGGGAGACTGAGGAAGTTCCCATGAAACCGAGCTTTACCGCGGACGAGGAGAAATGCGAGCATCATTTCCGTAACACTCACGCGAGAGATGAGAGCGGGCGATACATCGTTCGCCTTCCCTTTAAACAATTTCCTCCACGTATTGGCGATTCACGCTGCATCGCGACTCGATTGTACGACAGACTCGAGAAGCGGTTATCGCGCGATGCTAGTCTCGCTACGTCATACAATGCGTTTCTTCAGGAGTACCTAGACCTGGGACACATGGAGTTGGTCACCGGTCCAGAATCGTCTCACGACCCCGTCGTCTACCTACCGCATCACCCCGTCGTGAAGAGCGAAAGTTTGTCGACTAAATTGAGGGTTGTATTTAACGCGTCATGTGCTACATCGAATAAAACGTCCCTCAATGACCATCTTTATACAGGGCCCAAGCTGCAGAATAATCTGATGTCTATACTAATCAGATGGCGACAACATAAATACGTATATCTTGCCGACATTGAGAAAATGTTTAGACAGATAATGGTGCATCCCGAGGAGGCCGATTACCAGCGCATTCTGTGGCGACCGTCGTCACAGGCGTCTCTCCAGTCGTACCGTCTACGTACCGTTACGTATGGCACCGCTCCATACCTCGCAATACGGGTATTGCACCAGCTGGTCGAAGATGAAGATCATCGATTTTCTCTTGCTCGTTCCATTCTGCTACACGAGAATTATATCGATGACATTTTATTTGGTGCCGACGATATTGACACGGCCAATGCCATGAGAATCCAATTAGTCAATATGCTCGCGGCGGGCGGATTCCGTCTGCGTAAGTGGGCGGCCAACGCTACCGCAATGCTCGAGGATGTGCCGCCTAATGATCGAGCTATCAACATGGATCACTCCTTAGAAGAGGATAACAACATCAAGGTCCTCGGCATTTCATGGTTGCCACGAGATGATTCCTTCTCCTTCTACATATCGCTCCCGCCCACTGCGGTAGCGACCAGGTAGTCATTGTTGCTAAGAACCTAATGCAAGAGTTGTGGATTAGGACATTGGGATGAGCCGCTTCCCGCGGATCTCAGCATACGTTGGGAAACGTATCGCGACTCTCTCCGGTCTCTCACCGAAGTTCGGATACCCCGCTGGACCGGACAATCCAAACAGGTGAGCAGTATCGAATATCACGGTTTTTCTGACGCATCACTTAAAGCCATAAGTGCCGTGGTGTATATGAGGATTACTTGCTCAAATGACGTCAAGGTCATGCTGATTGGAGCCAAAGCCAAAGTGGCGCCAATTAAAACTCTGTCTATTCCGCGCTTGGAGTTAAACGGTGCCGTATTACTCGTCAAGTTGCTACAATACGTTATTGAAACGACACAGCTTTCTACTATTCCAACCTATTGCTGGATTGATTCGACAATCGTTCTCGAATGGCTTAAAAAACATCCTTCCACGTGGGTGACGTTTGTAGCGAATCGAGTGTCGAAAATTCAGACGGAACTACCGTCTGCCACTTGGTACCATGTTCCGACTAACTCAAATCCCGCGGATATTGCATCCCGCGGCATCGCTCCGGCCGATCTATCGTCCTGCGAACTGTGGTGGTCTGGCCCGAGATGGTTGACTCAGTCGTCGACCTTATGGCCCCGTCAGACTCCTAAAAGTTCTGACGAAATTATCCGTGGCATCAACAACAAAACTCACAAGGCTGCTGTCTCACATATCATCGACGTGCTGCAACCGCTTGCACTCGAGGACCTTCCTCATCGAATATCATCGTGGACGCGCCTACTTCGGGTAACCGCATATGTCCGTCGTTTTATCGCCTGTGCACGATCGAAACGGTCAATTACCGCGGTCACCGATTCGGTTCGACTTACCGCCGCTGAATTGTCCGAGGCACGCATCTTTTGGTGCCAACAAGCTCAACTCAGTCTTTTCGCATCAGAATATAAGGCACTGCGTCGAAAGCAGCCTATATCTTCTCGAAGTTCTCTAATAAAATTAACGCCATTCCTCGACAGAAACGACACGATCCGTCTCGGCGGGCGGCTAAAAAGGGCCCCTCTCGCATTTTCCGAGCGACATCCAATTATTTTGCCTCGTCATCGTATCAGTGACTTAATCATCGACCATGCTCACAAACAGACGTTACATGGAGGTCCACAATTGACACTCCGGTTTATCCGACAGAACTATTGGATTATCGGAGCAAGAAACTTAGTCAAGTCGGCTATTCATCGCTGTGTCCCGTGCGCTCGTCAACGAGCGTTAATTCCGACGCAAATTATGGGAAATCTTCCAGCTTCACGTGTCTCGCCATCTCGCCCGTTCACACACGCGGGTATTGACTATGCGGGACTATTTGACGTTCTATGGAAAAAGGGGAGAGGACATCGTTCACACAAGGCTTACGTGTCCATATTCGTTTGCTTGGCGACCCGCGCTATACATCTTGAGTTAGTCTCCGACCTATCTACCGAAGCTTTTCTCGCAGCATTTAAACGTTTTGTCTCGCAGCGTGGCATCCCCAGCGATGTCTACAGTGACAACGGGACCAACTTCCAGGGAGCAGAGAGAAAGTTGGCGGACACATTCGGGAAAATCATAAAAAATTCTGAGTTTGGCTCGCTTTTAGCTATTGATGGAACTACGTGGCACTTCATACCCCCCGCTTCGCCCCACTTTGGCGGTATTTGGGTGGCGGGGGTGAAAAGCATGAAGCATCATTTAAGGCGCGTAGTGGGCAAGCATACGCTTTTGACGGAAGAATTTGCCACCCTTCTCTGTCAGGTGGAGGCGTGCTTGAACTCGCGACCGATTTCTGCCATGACAAAGGATTCCGATGATTTTACGACGCTAATTCCAGGGCATTTTCTTATTGGAGCCCCCCTCCTCACCATCCCAGAGGAATCCGTAACGGACGTAGAGAAAAACCGACTTTCACGCTATTTACGCGTTCGGGCGATGCTCGAACATTTTTGGAACGCGTGGTCCCGCGACTACCTGCACACCCTGCAGCAACGACCGAAGTAGATGCGCTCGCTCCCGGAGGTTAAACCAGGAGAACTCGTGCTCTTACGGAATAAATTGTTACCGCCCTCCAAATGGGCTCTTGCGCGTGTTATCTCTGTGCAACCCGGCGACGATGGACATGTCCGTGTTGTTACTATAAAAACTAAAGACTCTGAGTTCGTGAGACCGATCTCGCAAATTTGTCGTCTTCCGATAGATTAGATTATAAAATTTTTATTGTACCGTTCCGGATACGAGGCGGGCGGCATGTTCAGGCAGGTGTACATTTCTTTTGCGAGATGTTATATTTGTTGAATGAAGCGCGTTTGAACCACGGCTCTGTCCTGTGACAGCCGCGTGATCGTATTTATTTGAATCCGCTTTCTCGTGTTAATCACGTGAATCTTCGAAGCGCGCTCCCGTGGTCTGACGACGGGGATGCTCGAGGATTCAGATCGCTTTGCGACAGTCTGTAAGACGGATCATCAGCGATTATTCGAGTCGATCTCGTGCATTAAGCACTACTATTCCGCTCCCGCGAATCTAAACTTTATTCTGTTAATCAATGTAAGAGTGAATAAACAATAAATTCCGTTGTTGTGTTAGAGTTCGTTATACTTAACGCGTAATCATTTTCCATCTTTTGCGACGTCCCAAACCCGTGCTGAATAGCAAACGAACATAATTGGAGTGGAGCGACAAGATCGGAGGTGTCGCGACAAGGCCTATCTATAATAATTATAATTGATTATAAAGTAAATAATCCTTTGTAATAAATAAATGATTTATATAAAAGTATTTTAGAGATTGAATATAATAATACTATTATTATCAAAACAGAGCAGTAGTTAGATAAGAATAAATCATATAAATCATTTATTTATTACAAAAAATTATCCACTAAAACTTTATAATCAATTATATTCCTTAAAAATTTTTATATATTTTTAGATTATAAATTTAATTATTTTTATTTATGTAATGCAGATTATTTTTAAAAAATTATATATACGTGTGCATGTATGAAAGAATGCAATGTAGAAAACAGAGAAGAGAGAGAGACAGAAACAGGACCACAGAGAGACAGATAGATCGATAGATAGATAGATAGATAGGTTGATCGATAGATAGATTGATAGATAGTTCGATAGATAGACAGGCAGATAGCTAAATAAATTGATAGGTATGTATATATATATATTTCTTTATAAACATTTTCTACGCATACATACGCATACATACATACATACATACATGCATGCATATAAAGAAATATACTAACTTTTTCATTTAGCCTTTCTTGAAGGAAACTCTATGTTGACAAAGAGGCAAACGTTTTGCGTTATATTATTCTATGTATGAGAGAGACGAAGATAATATGACTGTCTGTCCTGTCTAACTGCACAATTGCAGCTCCATCTATCGCGACATCGGGCAACTAATTTTCTGCTCTGTATTATTCCCAAATGTCATTTCGCACATACGTACACATGTGAATAAAATATTCCACAACCGAGATCTTTTTTATTAGACTTTTAAACTTATTTCTGCAAGGTCACTAATATTCCTTTATGCAATCTTTTGGAGGAAGCAGTCTTATTTTGTACGTATAAATTATGAAACTTTTATACAAGCAAATATTGTTATGACGTGACGCGAGAAGCCAAAAAAAAACTCGTATTTAAAAATTTTTTGTCTTTTTATCAAAAATTTAGACCGCTTCCTCTTTTATTATTGTATTAACTTTAATCGTGGAAAAGCATTTGTTATTCTATTAACGCAATAAAAACTTCTCGATTGTGGCAAAATATAATCGGTTCGGTCGGTAAAAGTAGACCTCCGGCATCCTCTTAAGAATATGCTATTGGTTCCCATTCTAATAGCAACATTATATGGGATAAGCGATATGGAGGTTGTCAACTAAACTAATATATTATTTTCTTAATTTTAATAATAGAATTAATGAACTCGTAATAAGTCAATAAAATATGCATTTATATATATATATATATATATATATATATATATATATACCCAGATAGGAAACTTTCAGCATAAATTCATAATTATTGCTTCTTTCTATTACAATAGTTTCGAAATACTTATTGCAAGGTGATGCATCAAAACGCATATTTTTTGTTAAAAAAGAATTTTGCAATTATAAATTGCAAACATTGAGAAGTTGTAAAAGCAAAATATTTTGCGTTATACAAAGTAATTTCTCAATTAATGCAGCATTAAATGTCTCAATTAATACAGCATTTAGGGAAAAAATTTTTAATATTTATAAAATAATTTTAAAAATTGATTTTTAAAAAAAAAAAGGTGCATTGGAAATAGCGACGAAGTAGTGTCATGGCAAAGTAGTGTATTGTGCTTTCAGTTTTCATGTATATAAGTGTTTTTATTAATATTATTTGACAGGTAAGCTGTGTAATATACACATATATTATTATATATTCTTTGTTCCTTACACATAAACTTTTTTATCACGTTAAGCGTATTTTTAATATTCTGCACAAAACTATTTTCCGAAATGCGTCACCGCCAAGAACAATAAAGGCCTCGTGGCCGACAGACAATATTATTCTTGCATTGCAGTTTGGACGCCCAATCTTTAATTGCCTAAGATTACACACATATATATGTGTGGTTATATACATGAAAGCACAATACACTACTTCGTCATGACACTACTTCGTCGCTATTTCCTTCCCGAATAAACTGGAACGGACGCGCAACCACAGTGTATACCATACTGTGACGCAACGGTAACAGTAGCGAGTAGAGAAAGAGCGACGCTAACACCACGTTCGGGGAGATTATGACTCTGTCAATGCTGAAAGAGTCATAATAATTGTACAATTTTATGCTGTAGCAATTTTCGTAATAATTACAATATTAGTTTTTAAAATATATTCAGCAATAATTGTGCTAAATATTTCCTGTAAGTATTACAATTATAGTAGCATCTATTTTAGGTATCAATTTCATAAAGATCGCTGCATAATATAATACAATAATTAAATTTAGAATCAGTGATTTCAGAATTTTAATTTATAGTTATAGTATAGTATAATATACATTAAAATTTTCGTATTATTTTAATTTTAAAATGTAATGTATATTATACTATACTATAACTATAAATTAAAATTCTGAAATCACTGATTCTAAATTTAATTATTGTATTATGCAGCGATCTTTGTGAAATTGATACCTAAAATAGATGCTACTGTATATATATATATATCCTAAAAAAATCATAAAAATGAAAAGGTCAGGCCATGTTCAAAAGAAGGTACTCAAAAATTTAAACGATCTAATAATAAATTATCACGAAAAGTAACTGATATGTTATTCAAGGTGCCAGTTCAAAGTGAACATACGTAAAGTGTATATTATCTAAATTTAGTAATAATATATTACCATGAAAAGTAACTGTGATATTTTATTCAAGGTGCAAGTTCACATTGAATATACATACATATAAGTAAAACTGATTACAATTTGATTCTAGAAAATAAGTGCGATATGTTATTCTTAGTGCACAAAATATAATAGTCGTTTATAGAGATTTGATTTGAAATTCATACTAGCCCGTACAATGAAAAATAATTGCTCGTAATTCCAGAGTACCAATTTGTTAATGACTCAGAAAATAACATGGCGGCCTGCTCTCAAAAAACTATGATGTTTCTCGATGTCCATTTAGAAATAATGTCAAAGCTCTTACAGAATAATTACTACAACATTTGAAATACGAAAAGTATTACATTAGAAGAAGATTAGATTAGAATAAGGATTCAACGTATTTTTAAAAGCTCTACACACACAACGAAGTAAATATACAAAACTATATACAAATACCTTTTTCTTCTGTGTTTCTGAAGAAAATTGTAAGTCAAATGAAACCTTGCACGTTGAGAACCATGTCACTTACTTTTCAGAGTAAAATTGATAAATTTTTTTTGTATATTTTAATATTTATTTCTCACTTGTATCTTGAATAATTAATATGTAATTTTTTATTGTATATTACGACAAATAATCAGTAAACTTTTAAGCGTATAGCTTTATTGTAGTTGACCTGAGAACTGTACATTTATAAATTTTACTTAATATACACCCGTTTCGAGCAACAAGGCAAAGTTTTCTGATCAATAACTTACTCCCTGAAAATACGGTATAACACAAATCGGAAGTTGATACGAAAATTCGAAATTTTACTAAAGAAAGATTGGAGGTTTTTAATTTATACAATTTTCACAACTCTTATTTCAATTATTTATTCTACCCATCGAAAGTTTTTTGAGAGCAGGCCGCCATGTTATTTTTCTGAGTCATTAACAAATTGGTACTCTGGAATTACGAGCAATTATTTTTCATTGTACGGGCTAGTATGAATTTCAAATCAAATCTCTATAAACGACTATTATATTTTGTGCACTAAGAATAACATATCGCACTTATTTTCTAGAATCAAATTGTAATCAGTTTTACTTATATGTATGTATATTCAATGTGAACTTGCACCTTGAATAAAATATCACAGTTACTTTTCATGGTAATATATTATTACTAAATTTAGATAATATACACTTTACGTATGTTCACTTTGAACTGGCACCTTGAATAACATATCAGTTACTTTTCGTGATAATTTATTATTAGATCGTTTAAATTTTTGAGTACCTTCTTTTGAACATGGCCTGACCTTTTCATTTTTATGATTTTTTTAGGATATCACTTACTTTTTAAAGTACAGATATATAGAGCAGCTTTCTAGTAATTCAAGTATCACAAATATATGTATTTTCGATTCTTATCACATAACTTTGTATAAGTAACAATTTATGCAATACAGTTCAAAATAATTGAAATATATGGTATATATGTATATATATAAAATATATAATTATATTATAGTATACATATATATTTTATTTAATCATATATGTAAATGTTTGTATAATTGTAATAACTTTTAACGATACATTGCACATTTATTTCAATTGCAA